CTTCAAACAATGGGACGCGAGACAGCTTCATATCCATGGGACGTGGCCACGAGCCCGGAAAAAATTCGAACCGACACGTTCGAACGATTCGAAAATTCGGTAGCTTTCCGTCCTTCCGAAGATGATACCGTTGTTGCGTCCCTAGGGTGCCTTTGTACCACCGGCCCGCCACCCCCGCGCAAAAGCCTCTGCTTAAGGGTCGGATAAGAGGAAGAAACAAATCCGCCACCTTTGGATATGAGAAGACGAGCGATGGCTGCCGCGATAACCGACCGGTAAGCCGTCTAGGAATGCGGCCTCCCCGCTCTCGATCTCCCTTTCTATTTTATTTCTGCCTCTCTTCCCTCTCAGTTCCAAGAGTGGCTGACACGACATTCGAGAAGCCTTCATCAAGACCCGATATCGAATCCGTCCGCTGTCCGCCGACGGCCGAGGATCGAATATGCCTTTGACTTTCGATCGTGGTCAAATCTGGATCCCTCGACTTTTCAGAATTTGAAAAGACGAGACGTGTGTGTACTCTCATTTTTTTTTTTCTTTGTGTAGACTTTATACCGGTTACGATGGAAACGATAAAATGTAGGACAAATTAAATAGAGATGTTTTTCGATGCTTAAATTGGAAGGATATGTGAAAGATACGTTGAAAGCAAGCATATACAAAGTTTATAAGAAATTATATGGTTATTTGTAGTTTCAGTTATGGAAGTATAGGAATTAGAAAATAAAATTTTAATAAAAAGTTTAAATCGAACTATCAATCCAACTGATATTTGCCGACCATTTTATCCATCTTATTCTCCTTTTTTTTTCCCAGAAAACTCATGATCCACCTCTCAAATAGTCAAACTTCAGTGAAGCGGTCACGAAAATCCCCGACACAGAGCGGCGTCCACGCGGAAATGCAGCCATCCATAACTCGGGAAGAAAAAATCCTAACCGGTCCTCCTTGCTCTTATGATTTTAATCCGTGGAAATTGTGTCGGCAAACACAACGATTGTTCGTCAGAAGGGAGCGTCCGCGTTTACGTCACACCGCCCATTCTGAAAAGTAATCTACACTGTATTGTTAGCCCCTTGGAAAAAGAGATTCCACCTTCAACGTCGCTGTACTTAGGGCCAGCCGCTGTTCTCTCGTTGTTTAACGCGGCCAGCTTATGTTCGATTCATCCAGCGGGGGGAAAGAGCGGGGAGAAGAAAGGAAAGAGATAGAGAAAGAGGCGCGCGCAGCTTGATCTGTCACGGGTATTGAGGATCGCGGTCGGATGATCGCGCGTAAGCACGTTATTCGCAGCAGCTTTTCAGCCGCGGTATCGTTGCTTCTTATAGGGGTTGGCCACTGTATGCTAGTGAAGAGGAGGGGGCAAGTAAGTCCCGCCACCGTGGCTACATGGATTATCTCTGGGCGGCGCGGACCAACACCGGTTTTTTTCACTACCTGACCGGGTCGACAAGGATTCCGAGTTACCTGGTTCGAGTCCCCGCT